TGTAGATTTTTTATTATAATTCACTCATATGTCTATAAATTCAAGGCCAAATTAGACTGAATGTCAAATAATCTTTTTTATTTGGTATGGCTACAGAAAGAAATAGCTTAATAACATCTTTATATATAATGATTCATATCAGCAGTCATCAGCTTCCTTTCTGCAGGCTGCAAAAAGAATAATATTACCTTCTTTCTAAAAAAAAAAAAAGACACACTTTTGAGTTGAATTATGTGTAACTCTATGTAAAGTTTTTGAGAATCTTGTGACTTTTTCAAATGTTGAGAATTTTTTTCTAGGTGTCAGAAATGAGCTGAAACATTACAAGAAAAAATACAAATTTTCCTTCTTGCCAGCCATTCATCACTTTATAGCATATATAAAACTCGAGAGGTTTTTTATCCAGCTTTCTACTTACTACACAACGTCAATAACTACTTATTTCTTCAATACAATCTATGGACTAGAAGACAAATCGAGTCTAGCTTGTTCACGATTTATTGTAAAAGGGGTAGCTACTAGGTTTTGATTTCTGGCCAGCAGAAAGCCCTTACACTTTAACCATCCCTACCTAGTAAAAATCAATACAAGTTTTCTTAAGTCAGTCTACCATTACAGATATGTGAGCTCTCTCCGAGTAGCTCACCTAGCTGTTGAATGGTTAAAATTGCCTCTTGCATTTTGCTTTGAGAACATTTTAAACAGTGAACACTGTGTTTATTCCTGCCCTAAAAAAATGGTGCAAGAAAGTAACCTATTCTGCCTGGCTTAAACAAAAGTAATGACCAGACAGTTTGGTGTTTAGGAGAGGAGAAGTGCACTTTAGAATAGAGATGAATCACAACCACTGGGCAGATAGGATAACGTTACTCATTTTCTGTTGGTCTCCTGGAGTGACTTTCTGCTTGCTTCTCTCTACTAGTTGCTCCTTAGCTTTTCTGTTTGATAGCTCTGAGGCAGCTGCAAGGCTGGTGCACTGTATCAGTAAAAAATAAAACCTGTTAAATAAATCAGATAAAGAAATATCAGCCAATTCCCTATGGGAGTTTATCTGTTTTAAATTACTTTCATATGACTGATGTTGTGTATTGAGCTAAAAAGAAAAGAAAGCAAGCTGCCAGTGCCTCTGGCCATTTTAAGATCTCTTGTAGAGAGTTTAATGCTCCCATTGCAATCATTGGGAGTGATCTACTTGGACTGATCAGAGAGAGCGGCGAATTAAAGATCATGAAACCAGCAATGAAAGAAAGTCAAGGTTTTCCTCCTATGGACTTAGAGCTGCTGTAGTGTAACTGCCTGCAGCTTGCTGGTGGTCACCGATTGCTTCTGTGGTAAACTGTACTTTTTGTAGACAAAAGATTACTCCTAGCATTTTGGTTTTAAGAGAAATAAATATGTTTGGGTTTTTCTTTTCCTTTGTTTTGCAAGGGATGTGTAGGTTTTTTTTTAAGGAAGTGACAGGGCAGAAAGCATTTCCATATCCTGCAGCGCTGAAAATTTGAAACACACAGCTCTGTACTAGTAAATTATTATCCCTTGCCATTTGTACTGGAGTACCCAACATGCCATAGCAGCTCTCTCGAGATGCCAAAAAGGGATGACTCCTGCACTACAGAGTCCCCGAAATCAGTATAGGCAGAAAGAAAAGGACATGGGCCAGAGCAGAAAAAGTTAAGATGGAAGTTAACTCCATTCACTGTAATGTGGTGGAATTGTTTCTTAAGGATGCTTGATGGGTAATGAAGCTAAACAGCTTAGTTTCATTATACAAGCTGAGATAAATGTATAGGGAAGACATTTCAATAAATCATCTGAGCCTCTGTGCGAGTTTCCAGTCAGGATATGGTCTGTTCAGCAAGGCACTATGTTTGTAGGAGCTGCACCAGAACACAGCTGAAACTTTAGTTCCAGAAACTATTCAGAGAAGAGTCTAAATTTAAATATAGGATTGAGTGCTTGCCTGAGCAAAGATATTTCCCTAACTAATTAGTTTTGGATCACAGCAGGCTCTCACATCTTTGGCATGTCCCATCTCATAGATGATATGGACTTTGGGCACTCCTAACGTGGTCAGATCTAGGACAAAAAGGGAAGAAGTAAACTGGAGGGTTGCTGGAGTTGCTAGGCTGCAATACTGGGCAGTTGGTGGCTGCAGGCTTGGCCATGGTAGAAGGATGAAAACCAGAACTTTTTTTAGCCCTTTGCTAAAGCCCCCAAAACTTTTTTTGTTTGAAGAAAGGCCCTGTCCTTTAAGGCTGTCCTCAAAACAGGGCAGGATCGAGGTCAAAGCCTTCCTGTAAGGAGGGAGATCAATATGAAGAAACACAGATTGTAGGGCAGGGAAGATCAGAGAGAGGTGGGAAAATGCTACCTTTACTTAGGTGTGAGAGCTACAGCGATGGGCCCTGAAGGCCCTACTGGGAAATGAGGTCGCTCATATAGATGTAAGGCTGCAGAAACAAATGACCGATCTGATGTGTTCCCAAATTCAGGCACGTGCACATTGTTGATGACTCATGGGTCTGAGAGGGAAGTTATTTCTGAGTATGTGTTTTAGTGAATTTGGACTTAATTAAACAGCACTTATTACAGTATAGATCAGATCTCTTTAAAATCTCTTTTAGCTATAATGATTTTAAACTGATTAAGAAAAAGAAGTAAGAAATACAAGATGACATGAAGAAGGCAAAGCCCTTAGCTGACTTCTTTCTGCCGCATTCTGTCAAGGGCTCTGGTTGAGGATTCGGCCCGTGGCGTTAATCTTGATAATGTCCCTCTACGTATCTTATGCTGTCATCTAACCTGCTGTTGAACCATTCCAAAGCATCATTTCTGCTTCCTTTGGCGCGCTGCACGTATGAACAGGAAAGCATTTAATGAACCAACTCTGTTGCCACGAAAGGCAGTGGAAAAATGCTCACTGACATGAGTGGAAGTGATTCAGCTTCACTCACTTGATATGTTTACATTATCCAGAAAGTAAAACAGTGCATGCTGAATTCTTTGATACCCCTATACTAACTGCTGCTCACTGATAAGCATCATGCTGTTCCTCAAGCAGTGAGGAGAAAGCCTAAGATGCTGTCAGTGTCCAAGATGAAGAAAAGCCAACGACCTCATGGTTGTCTGTCTGGCTCATTTGTTCGTGTGCCCTTCTGTGATCTCAAAAATCTATTGCAATTCTGCACTCTGTGGAAAGGCCATAATATGCAAAATAACCATGATGCTGGAGATGCAACATTAAGCAACTGATGATGTTAAGAAATGTCCTAATACTCATATTTTAGGCTGTCTGGTCCGATTTAGCCCTCCTGAACCTCTATAATAGATGAATGCCGTGTGTTAAACAAGGAAGTAATTTAAGATAGACGTCCTCAAAGTATTGTTGATACATTCTGCGAACTTAGTATTTTCTGATTTATATTTCCCCGACTCTCTCTTCCTCATATATATGCATGTATATACACAATCTATATACACATTTTGAAAGAGAATTTTATATTTCACGTCTCTTGAGAAAATTTGTTTCCCAGAAGACATCTTGTCTTCCCTAATGTGGGCTAGTAGCAGTGAGCTAATGACTTTTTGCTTCGTTCTGTAAGAATTTTCAGCAGAGATGCTTCAGTAATAAGATAGTACTGAATGTAAACGGAATATAAATTTTATACTTTTGAAACGTCTGCTTTGATGGAAGGGGGCAGAATTACAAATGTCAGATACTCCAAACTGTTTTGAGACTACAGAAATTCATTTGAAATACTACAGCTTGGAGTGGGATTGATCTTATTTACCTACTGACACGTTCTTGCCATAGTTGTCTGTCTACACTGAAATACGCACATACAGAACCATAGGCATTAGGGGGGCAGATTCATTTTAGACCTTTTCAAGTGATTTTTTTAGAGTTTCAGGCTTGTCAAAAACAAACAAAAGGAGAATGTTGCCTAGTCCTGTAGATGGTTTAACTGAAAAAAAAGCAGTTCAAGATTCATTTAAGACTGTGCTTCAGTCCTCCTGTAGTGTCTCAGTGCAATGTTGCATCATCTTAAAGAGATGTTTCATATTTTTCATTCTGAGCTTGTAGAGTTGGCCAAGGGACCTGGTGTAAGAGGTAACGTCTGTACTGGCACGCTATCATGCTATGAACAGTTACTGTTTCTCTCTTGGTTTGCTATTTCCCACCTTCTGCTGAAAGCATGTCAAAATGGTGCTGCTCCACATGGCCCTAAATCAAAGAGCTCTTCCCTGCCTCTGCCTCCCACCCTCTCCCACACACCCTGCTTGGAGCCTTGGGGTAAAAGAGAAAAAAATAGGAGTTTCCCTGTGACAGCATTGTTTATAATGATTTATTATTTCTATTACTGTAGTCCTCAGAGGCCGTATTTAAAGATCAGGGCTTAATTGCACTAGGTGCATTGCAAACATGTAGCAGCAAACATGTGGCAGGCTTCACCCAGAAGATACTTCTTCATGAAACACCCTTATTGGTCACAAGTCAAACCACTCAAAGGCGTGTGAGGTGGAGAGACGGTACAAGATAAAACATAAAAGCACATTTTACCATATGGTAAATCTATGCAGAATTTGAAAGAAAGTGTACTTTGGTTTTAATCACTAATTTTCTAAGCAGTAAGCAAGATGCCAAAGGAGAGATGCCCTAGGCGCCACGTGCAACCTGTAGCGTGCAAGCACACTGAGTGTGGTGCGGAGCAGGGACTAACCCTCTCTACCTCCTCCTGCAAGCTGTGAATAGCAGCGAGTAGCCGGGTCCGGGAACAGCTGTAGCCACAAGGCCATCCTTCTTCCTCATTTGAGAGCCGTCCAGCAGCTTGTGGTGCTCCTGCAGCCAGCCTCTGTGTTCAAGCTGTGGCAGCAACCATGTTTTACGGGGACAAAAAAGGAAGAAAAAGTTAGGGAAGGGCAAAGGATTTTTTTCTGAAGTCTTTTTTCTATCTCTGCCTTCTAGAAACACTCGAGCATGAGTTATGTTTAAGGGTAGCATGGATATAGCTGTTGCCGTCAGCAAGAACATGCCAAAAAGAAAACTAGTCGGAGTTAAAGTTTTGCTTATAGCTTCCGTGAAGCAGCAGCCTTGTGAACTTAGTGATAAATCACAGTCCAAAGCCCACGGCAGTGATGAGGTGAGATACAGAAAAACCTGGAAAGGAGATGAGGACAATGGAGGAGGCATTGATTTGATTTTGATCACTACTAAACAAAGCGAGCTGACAAAAACCATTAATGCCCCTTTCAGCCGCCTCCACAGGAGGTCAACTGCCAAACAAGAGAGGAAATGGCCCAGGTGAGTTACGTGCTGGCTGTAAGACTGATGACTTCCTGTGCTTGAATGGAGCCAGAGCCACTTGCCAGTGGATGTCCGAGTGTATCAGACAGGGGCCTGGACAGTTATTCTCCACTGGGGACCCTGAAAGAAAGGCAGAGAAGGAGCGTTGTTTGCAGTGGCCTGGCAACAGTTGGCTTGTGGGAACTGTGACGGCTTGGCTGCTGCCTGAGGGGACACACTGAGATCATCTGCAAATGTACGGGTCTTGCCTAGGACATAGGCATAGGGATCACCTGAAAACGCGCTGCTTGTTTAGGACAACTGTGCCTGCCAGCAGGAACGTGCTGCTGGAGGTTCACCAAAAGTACTTGTGACTTAGCAAATACTTAGTATAACAGCATCTCCCCACTGCAACTATTTTTTATGACCGTGTTCAGTGTTTAAGTGGGGGGAAATGAATTTGTTTCTGAGGAATTTGTTAATGGTTTTGTTGAGTGGTCACCCCTGCACATTGAAACTGAGAGGTAATCAAGATATTGCTTCTGTCTTTGGGCACAGGGGAGGAGAGGGAACAGTGTGTGGGGCTGGACGGGGTGGGGGAATCGTCCTCAGTCAATAGTGCTTGTATCAGGTTTGTTTCTTCCTTTTCACCCTTTTGTTTTTCCTTCACTCCTCCTCCAGGCTCAAAATATTCCTGTTTGGGTCTATGTGCTTTTACAAAATTGCCTGAAGTCTATATCTGAGCTCGTTCTTACTGAAAATAGTGTCCACATTGGCCATGTTTAAAGGCACCGTTTGTGTCACTGTGAATCTGTACAAGTTGTTGCCAGATCAGTAGGATAGTGCTTTGAGATCGCAGGGCCATTTTGCACAAACTCAAGATGTTTTAGTAATGGAGAGAGAAAGAACAGCCATGTATTGAGTGTTTTATTACTGATAATGGCCAGCCAAAATAAATAAGACAGGATGCTGTTTACAGTGCTAGTTCTTTGTTCCGTTTTAGCGTTTCTGTAGCTGGCAACATGGAAAAGGCAACTAAATTTTGTGCTAGTCACACACAAAGTCACACATGAAGTTCAACTACAATACATTAAGCTAGCTTAGCTAATGTTTAAGTGGTGCTCAACTGACGGGCTAAAGGAAATCTAAAAGAGGAGTGCTTTTCCTTTTCATTTTAACATCTCACTCCTTCACTGGGTGTTTTCATGTTATGCACCATGGAAAATTATTGGCAATTTGTTCTGTATGAGTGGCAGAGTAACTTAAAAGACTATAGATTTTGACAGCAAGTCCATAAGGCTGGGCAGCCCCAGGGCTGAGGCGTACACCTACCTACCCTGCAGTGTCGATAAGCCTTTATTAATACTAACATCAATGGCGTGATTTGCGTTTTATCCTGAAAATATCACTGGTGCCAACTCTAATCCCCATCCTTGAACCATTTTAATAGATACCTTCACTCTACCACTTGCCCTGTTATTCTTTATTCAGTTTCCACCATTTTCTTTAAGCATCTGATAAGCAAACAGCTTCCACATGTGTACAGAATTCTGCCTTCCAAGACCTTCATTTCCATTACTTGCATCAGGACAACACTAATGAGGTGTGAAATCATGCTGGCCATGAGACATTTTCTAAGCAAATTCTCCTCCAAAATAAGCAGGCATCTGGGCCTGATGAGCAGTGCAAGTTGCATAGCACAAGGAGGGCCTTGGAGAGCCATGCATTTGAAGGCCAGTAGTGGCATTTTTGCTTTTCTTCCTTATATGGCCTATTTCTATGGTTTATTTGTTTTTTAAATTAATCTCGATTGCTGAGTTTCTGTGGACTGTAATATATGTAAAACAATGGGTAACACTTGAGGAAAAGCAAGGGTTTGTCTGGCTTGCTGCATGTACAGATGTGTGAAATGCTGTGAGCTGAAGACACGAGTTTAAGGAACCACTATCCAGTGAACCAAATCCTAAATCTCTTGTATCTTAAATCTTTTGATCCGTTTCAGTATTTCACAGTAGCGGATTTGGTATGCAGCAGTAGCAGCAGAAGTACTCGTGCAAGATCAGGGCTGCTTCGGCTCGATTCCTGTACACATCATAAAAGTTGCAGTCCTAAAGAGCTTTCTTTATCTAAACAGACAAAAGTCTGGAGAGAAGGAGGTATTTTCATCCTCATTCTGCAGAATGGGCCAACTGAAGAATTGACAGACTTGCTTGTAATCTCCTAGGATCTTCACAGATATGCTGGGGATTGCATCTCCTGAGTCCCAGTACATCACCTTCATCACAATTTCTGAACTAATCAATAACCCATTTATATGCCATCCCATAATTGCAGCAGTATTTTGTTGTTAAATACCCTACGGTGTCATTAAAACCTAGGTTATTTAAGAGTGTAACCAAGGCAGACACTAGAGGCATTTCTAAAGGAAGCAGTATGCGAGCCGTTCAATACTACTAACAACACAGCAAAATACTTGAATACCTTGAGTCATCAGGAGAAAACCTGCAAAGTTAATACCAGTGCTCCATGTCTTCTTTACTGCTCTGCATAGCACTCTAAAATGGACTCCACATGAAACACAAGATTAAAAAACAAAACACACCTGAGGTACCTTGATCTGAGGCCAAGAGTAAGAGCATGCCCCGGCGTCTGAGACGCCCTGAAATGGGGCAGTGTGGCCTAGGACAGGAGGGGGCAAATTGCAGCTTCTGAATTCCAGAACTGAAGTATTGCAGAAGATTGAAATGGGGCCGAGCAGACCGGTGGGCCACTGGAGCAGTCACCTGCAGGAGCATTTTCAAATACACTGCTCTAATTTAGGGAAGTGTGCCTTGTAACGTCTGAGGAGGAAAACCTGGCACAGCGCAAACGCTGCTCCAGCTCAGCGTCCATAAGCGTAGGGGGCGCATTGGCACTGCTGGATAGGAGCTTGCTCAGCTGTGCAGGGAGCAATACCCCTGCCCTGGGCCACAGCCCCAAAGCTGGCGAGATGGGAAGGTAGGGCCATCGCGTCAGACTCGTGGTGGGAGGGACTGGGAGATGACAGCTGGTGGGGGGTCCTGCTCCCCTTCCTTCCTGCTGCTTGCCACGTTCAGAGGAGCGCAGGGCCTTGCAGGCGCCGTCTAGATGCCTATAGACGTCTATAAATGGTTTTCCAAATTCCAGCTCTTGAAATATTGAGTTAACATGTGGATAACGTAGCATTGTTTATGCTTTCAGGTTGGGAACAGTGCTTTGAATTGTTTTTTTTTCAGTGCCTGTACTTGCTATTAGAACTGGGTTTTGATTAACCTGTCTGCTTTTAATGTATTGTTTTAGCAATATTCTGATTTTCTAGCATTCTAGTAAGATAGATAATGAAAGGCTGTGAAGGCACTGAAGCAATTTCATTTACACTTTTGAATGAATATTTTTGGGAACTATTTGTCTTTTTTAGTTGTCCTTTTGCCCATTTGGTTATCAATATGCTGGAGGTAAGGAGCACAAATCCTGTTGGTCTGCTATTGATTTTGGACTAAGTGAGCAGTCAGTCCCTGTGACTCTGCTCTTTCAGATGCTTAAATAACATCTGTAAAAGTAGAGATCTAGTAACAGACGTGAAGACCAGAGACAGACACACCAGCTTTACGAAGGAAGAATTTAATAGAAACAAGAAAAAATGAAACAAGGATGGTGTGGTTTGTGAGGTGGGAACCTGGAAGACTACCTGAATTATTTGCACGTTAAATTAACTGAAAACATAATTTCTCTATAAACCAGTAGGGGAAGTCCTCTATATCGAAAACTTGAACTGGGTATATGACACAATTAGTGCAAATATACTACAACTTTATGGAAGACAAGCATATCTTTTTTAATTTTGCAACAATAGAACAGGCCAAATACCATTATATATTACATTAATGAGATAGATTGCTATTTTGAATGGAGCCTCTATGCTCTACACTTCACTGTATGTAGATTTGCTAGTTAATAAGCCCGAACAGTGTTTCTGTTCGTGGAAAGTGACTCCGAAACGTTTGTCAGATTATCTGTTTGGCATGCCTGACTGGTGTCTGGAGTGGCACTTTGCTAATGTGCTATTACTCAGTGTCATTAACGCGTGGAAGTGATTGAAAGGTGAATTTATATTTGCATCATGCTGCTTAGAACAGGCGGTACTCGGGATGAATGTAGTGGCCTGCGAAATGGTGCTGCACAGGATAAAAATGAACCGTGCATCTCAGAAAGCACATCTCCTTAACTCTTGGTAGGTTTTTTTTGGTTTTGTTAAAGGAGTGTACTGTTGCGATGCTGGGAAAATGCAGTCACAAAGTTGCTTGTGTGAGTGTGTGTTTGTTAGCTGTCTGTTCAGCATCATTAGAAACCCACAGTTTTTATAATTCCTATGAAAAGCTTCCTATTGCTTTACTCATCAGCATTAAAACCACATAAAATATTTTGGCAGCTGCAGTATGTATGCAAACCTTTGAAATATCACAGTTAGAAAAAAAGACAGGATTGGTCTGAGAAATGCAGAGCTGATGTTTTTTCTTATTAATCAGCAAAGGGTATCTGTTCACATGCAAGCTGATTACTTATATCCCACAACATATTTCCTCCTTCCTTAAAAGTGAGTAAGTCTTATTTTCTTTCCATAAGTGAAACCATTGTTATCAGTTTGGTTTGGGTGAAATCACGAGTCGGAGACTATTGAATGCATTGAGTCTCATAATAGTTTTTAAAACGGTGTTCCTGGAAAACAATTTTCAAGAGAGTTTGCTAAGTAAAAGCCCTAGTTCACAGACTTTCATTTACGGGTTTTTTTTGGAGCTCAAAATAGGTTTGCTGTGACTTGTTTGTGCTTGCGAGGCAGTGAAAACCTATAGAGCAAAACCGTTTCTTGCTTGTTGAAACCATAGGAAATAAGGGGTGGCAGGGAAGAGGGCGAGAGGGAGACCAAGATTATTCTGCATCTCTCACGACTGACTTCCTTCTGTTTGGTGTTGAATCGAAGCTTGAGACTTGAAATAATTTGC